GCACCGGGAGCCCAAACATCATCTGCTCGGCCCTCCCGACCCACTGGCGCTCCAATAAGACGCTTCCCGTGGCCTTCAAAGTGGTGGCGTTGGGAGAGGTGTCGGACGGAACGGTAGTCACGATTAAAGCGGGCAATGACGAGAACTGGTGCGGAGAACTCAGGAATGCCTCCGCCATCATGAAGAACCAGGTCGCCAAGTTCAATGACCTTAGATTTGTCGGCAGGTCCGGACGGGGTTAGTACCAAACCCGACATACTTGTGCCCACCATAGACCACACCACACATCCCATACACAACACTACATTAAACTAATATTACAATTATTACATATGAATCATACAATTAACTCAAATGAATCTCTCTCTCTCTCTCTCTCTCTCTCTCTCTCTCTCTAAATGAGTTAATATTTAGGCTTTAATTGTGTTAACAATACATTTAAAGAGAACCCATTAAACAGAGTGTCAGCCCATTAACCGGAGCTTATGGTCTAAAATATGACCCGACTTCACAGTACTGTCCCATAAAGATTCTTTGTTATTTATGGCCTACCTTTTCAGAAAGGCCTTATATTTTGCCCTGATCACTATTGCCATTAAAAAAGACCATTTATTGAGTTGTATAAAGAGTTATATCTGTTATAAAATTTATTTTACTATAAATTATTTATTGAATTAAGTTTATAGACTAGAAATTTAGAAAATATTTATCTGTAATTGGATTTTGAAAATAAACTCAGAATTATATATCAATATAAAAAATGGTATATATTGAGCCAAAAGTGAATTGTATTTCGTTTGAAAAGTTGTGATTTCGATGAATAAGTGGTTGTATTGAATGGAAGTACAGTTCACTCGCTTGTGATTGAGTTTATGGTAGGTTTTGGCCGCACTTGGGTTTAGGCGAACCAAATGGTTGTCCAAAACAAACACTTGTATCGCAAATACAATATAATACTTGTTATAAGAACTATATATTAGACTTAAGATCACATCTACTATACTATACTACGAGAGGTCTACTTATTTGTCGCATACATTGTGTTTGCATTCAACTTAAATCTCAATTTTATTCACTATTTTTATATTAAAATCTCCAAAACTTTGCGCCAATACTTTCTAAATGCAAATATAACTAAAAAACACATAAAACTAAATCAAAACTAAGTTTCGGACAAAAGACGAAAAAACTAAAACACATAGAAATCCAAAGTAATTGAACAAATAATAGCTAACATTTACATTATTCTCGATTTCAGGCAAAAGTTTTTCGCTGACAATCACCGTCAGTACAAACCCACCACAGGTTGGCGTATACGCCAAAGCCATTAAAGTGACGGTGGATGGGCCCCGGGAACCTAGAAGTAAAACCAGTGAGTTTTATACCTTAACTAGAAGTATATTTTCAATTATCATTTCAATTGCCTTTCCCTCTGTCTCTCAAACACACACTTTGCAAATGTCTCATGAATTACACTCTCATTGCGGTTGCATTTGCTTTGAGTTTGTGTTTTGTGTGTTCACTATATTTATATCCATTGCCAAAGTCTCCAACAAATTATTTCTTATTACGAGTACACTATCATAATAATCATACAGTAGTCATGTATATAATGGCCGAAATTACTTAGCATTTAATCGTGAGTCAATCATATGCATTAGGGTAGCCAGGGCAATCATTTTGGCGACCAATAAATTACTCGATTATATTTTTCTATGTAGTATAGTTTTGGTTATGCAATTAATATACAAATAAAAATAGCAAAATACTGTTCGGAATATATTATAAATGTTGGAAATTATGTTTTGACACTTAAGTGATCATGCTAAGATCATGAAATAAGATGCTATAAAATACTGAACAGTGTATTGAAGTCATGAATTTGTTGAATGCCTTACTGTTAGGGAATGCCTTACTATTTGAAAGAGACTTTACCAGATATTTAGCACTTAAATGAAAGTTTAGCACAAAAAATCACAAATCCTCCACAAAAATAGCAAAAATAGCAACAAATGCCGCGAAAAAAATGTTTATCAGACAAACTTTAGGAGTGGCTCTAATTATAGTGAAACAAAAGTGTTGTTTTTGGCATAACTTTCCCCGATATACCTGCGCTGCTCTCCAATATTAATTACACTGTTTTCTGTGAGTCTATTATCTTATAAATACTTATATTAATAATTGTCAAAATGTTTAGACAGTCTTAACAATTAGCTGTGATTTAATGACTTTGACGAAAAAAATAACAAAAAACATGGTATTCCCATAGCAATGATGACCCCGTGCTGGCCCTTCCCGGGACCCCAGCAACAGCTGCGGGCATTCGCATCGGCCTTTGGACACCATGCGGCCACTCAACGGCCGTTTATGGACGCCCGGGGCTGTCCGTTGCCTCCCCTCCCGTGTGCGGCTGAGTGGCGATTGGCCGCCAAGAGTCAGGCCGAGCAGTGGGCCCTTCACGCGGCCGCTGCCGTCGCCGCTGAACTGCCCCGACGTTTCCCAACACATCATTCACAAGGTTTGTCACCATTATTAGTACGTAACTCAATGCTAAGGAGTGGGAGTCGAGGTTACTAATTGTTACACAAGTGTTTCCAGACACTGGCATTCATTTGTACGTACTTATTGATTGAGTCCTTATCCGCTTGATCTAATTTGTGGCACAATTTGGTTTAATAATGTTTAGATATGAATTTGTTTATTAGTTTTTGTTAACCAAAAATAAATTTATTATTAAATATAGTATTGTATTGTTTATTATACTAAACAAAAAATAAAATTGACAACTTTTGTTGTCTGACTAATTGGTAGTGAATATTGTGTTGTATGCAAAATATAGTGTATATTCTGTACAATGAATTGGCCTTAAGCTAGAAGTGAAGCCAAAAACATACAGCACTTGTGAGTACAGTATTAGACGTGAAATGCAAACTCGTTAAGAGATTCTCAGGAATTGTCAGAATATTCTTTAATATTCTGTGAGCTCTCTGCTCGACAAGAGTTTGTGTTTTTTGTCAATAATTCAAATATATATTGTGAACAAAAAAAGATGGAAAAACAAAACAGTCGTTTAGGATCTCTTCACTTCACACACAGTCAGCCGTTAGTCGTCTTAAAGAGGTTTTTTAGGCACGAAATCAATATTTTTATATATTATATACAGTAGTATTTGTGTGTCTGTAAGCAAAAGGGCTGTTATTTTGTGTGTGTATTCTCTTTCCGAAACTTTATATAATAAGTGTAATAAAAAATTGTTGAAAATATGTGAAGAATATCATAGTTAAGCGTTTCGAGATGCCATTCCCCCATACGGTACGCCATACCATACTATTACTGATACCATAGCCGTAGCCAACACACAAGAAACTCAATCAGAAATGTGTTGGTGTGTAGTGTTGGGAACTGTAGGCCATGATTGCCAGTCATGCTTATCATTATCGGTGGTAATAGTGGTGTGTGTGTGCGGAGGGAAGTACCCAACAAAGTACTGTTCCATCAAATGCATGAGCGAGCACAGTTTTTTAAAGTTTTCAAACAAAAGTCGATTTTCTCTCAGCAATTGTTTCACTTTTTAAGACACTTTTTCACCCATATATATTATATAACACTCATTCACTCTCTAACGCTAACGAATAACCATGTATTCAATTCTTGTAAAACTCTAATTCACAGACAACTTCATGCAATCAAATGAAATATATTGTGTTGAGTATTACACGAGAGTGTCTGTCAGTACAGCACCAGTAGTACAGCTCCTCATCCGAGATATAATCTCTATTTTATATGATTTGATGGCAAAGTTAGCTCACAATACCCTCAAACACTGATTGTGTACAACATTTTTGGTGATAAATTATAACACATAGTAATTCCCGGTAATAGATATGAATTTATATATATTTTTCGTTGTTTCGGTGTTTGTGTTGCGAAAAATAGCGATTAGTTTTTCACAGTTGAGACTCACTGTTCATATAGTGTACACCAAATGATCATTAATGGCATCTGTAGTGCCGGATAACCATCGTATGGATCAACCAGTACTCCATATGACTCTTTAAATTACATACCCTTTCAATAATAACTATTGTATTACAATATTATTACTATTTTAGGTCATTAATTGCTATTATTATATATAGAATAGGATTCGCATACAAACACACAAAAAACA